AATCACCACTTTCTATTACTACTCACAGTGGGGGCTTCCCCAAGGAATACTGAGGTGCTGGTAAGAAGGGGAAGAGGAGTGGATCCTGTCATGTTTTCATAACACGGACACTTAAAAGGAGTAGTAACTCATGGCCTTCCTTGATGGCTCCGTGGTAAAGAGTCTGCCTGCCAATACAGGAGAAACAGATCTGATCCCTGATGTGGGAACATCCCACAAGCCGCCGAGCGACTACGCACATGATGACAGCTACTGAACCAGTGCTCTAGAGCCCGGGAGCTGCAACAGCTGAACCCACAAGCCACAGCCCCCGGAGCTCAGACGCCCTGGAGCCCGTGTTCCGCAGCAAAAGACGCCGCTGCCACGAGAAGCCCACTTGCCGCAACTAGAGAAAAGCATGCACAGCAACGAAGACCCAGCACAGCCAGAAATAGATATAAATAAATATTAAATAAAATTTTAAAAATTAAAGCACTTTTCCACATCTACCCAATCTTCAGCCGAAAGTTATCAAGCTCCTATGCCCCAACCCCAGCCCCTGAAATTGCTCAGGCAACAGTTGTAAACAGTTCTTGGATTGCCAAGTTGAAAGAACTTTCTCTTAAACTTTTCTACAGCATTTTATACTGTTGAATTCGCTCTCCTACGAGACCCATTCTCGCTGGGCTGTCTTGCTGTGCTCTCTCCTTTAGCCCCTCCTACCCAATTTTCTTTGTCAGCTATCCTTCCTTTTCACACCCTGTCAAAGTTGCTGAGTGTTAAGTTTCAGTCATTGGCCCTCTCTTCACCCCCTTCTCACCTCTCCCCTTGCTTCCCCTTTTCCTCACTGTTCCCCTTTCTTTCTCACTCAGTACTCTTATAAACAAAGAGATTTTTATACTTCATATTAACCTATGCTCTCTAGATGGGCTTCACACGGAGGTTCTTAAATTATGGGGAAAATGGTATGTATATGTGCATTTTTTCTTAGGAGAGGGCCTAGAGCTTTTATCAACAGTTTAAAACATCAACCGTGTTGGTGCCTCCTAAATGTTTTGTCCAGACCTTTCTGAGTTCCAGAACCATATATCCAACTGACTACTTGACATCTTCACCTAAAATCACCACCAATCTCCAACTCAGGGTCAAAAGCTGAGATCATTATCTCTCTCTCCCAAAGCCTGCTCTCCTTCCTCTATTTCTCATGCCCAAGAAATGTGTCACCATCCTCCTGATAACCCAAATCAGAAAGCTGAGCATCACCTAGCCCCTCCTAAACCACTCCTCATTGCTGTTCATTCATCCAAATGCTGTCCAGTCCACCTTCTTAACATCTCTCCTAAAGGCTTCTGTTGCATTTTCACTTCTTTAACAGAGAATCTCCCATCTCTCAACTCAACTGTTAAAGTAATTTCCAAGTTTTTCCTCCATTTTCAATCTCTTTCCCCTCCAACCTATTTCTTGGACTATGTCATTCCCCAGCTTAAAACTTTGAAGATCAGTTTTATGTTTTGTAAAAACTACCATGATAACAGTTCAAGAAAGTCCAAATTTTTCAGCATGGCATACAAAGTCTTTTACGATCACCTAATAAACATTAATTGAGCGCCTTGTCTACTCAAGGGTTTCCTTGGTGACTCAACTGGTAAAGACTCTCCTGCTGATAGAGTCAAGAGATGTGGGTTTGATCCCTGAGTCAGGAAGATCTCCTGGAGAAGGAAATGGAAACCCACTCCAGTATTTTTGCCTGGGAAATCTCATGGACAGAGGAGCCTGGAAGTCTACAGTCCATGGGGCACAAAAAGTCGGACACAACCAAGCACTCACACACACACACGTGGCTTTTGGGGGCTTTCCTGGGGGCTGAGACAGCAAAGAAGCTGCTGCAATGCAAGAGACGCAAGAGATGTGGGTTCGATCCCTGGGTCAGGAAGATCCCCTGGAGAAGGAAATGGAAACCCACTCCAGTATTCTTACCTGGGAAATCTCATGGGACAGAGGAGACTGGGGGCTTACAGTCCACGGGTTGCAAAGAGTCAGACATGACTGAGCAACTAAGCAGGAGCCTACTCAAGGCACTGTATTGTATGCTGGGGATACAATGATGAACAAGAGGAACAGATTCTCTGCCCTCAAAGACCTTACCGTCCACAGTGTGATGAGTGCTACAAAGGGGGAGCACAAGCACCCCAGAACTGTGGGGATGTGAGTGTCACAACTCATGTCAGAAGACGGGGACGGCCTCAGCCTCTTGTGTTCGACTTCTGGGAGTCATCAACAGGTGTGTATCTAGATATGGAACCAACAATTTTCTATGCGTTATTTCATTTAAACTTCACAACAACTCCTTGGGTTGGTACCATTTTTGTTAGCCCCATTTTAGAGATATGGAAACTGAGACCGAGAAAGTTAAAGCAGTGGAATTGGAATTCCATCCCACGCTCACCTGAAACCCAGCCCTCTTAGACCTTTAAAAGCTGGTGCTTCTCTTTTGTTGTATTCACGAATCCTCTGGAACTATACTCAGCTCTGTAAACATGCCAGCCTATTTAAATTACAGTCCTGGCTCATGATGCTGCTGTTGCCTGAAATGTCCATTTCCCTCAAAAGCCTTCCTTCTAAACACGCGATTACCTTCTGTGATCCCGTAAAGGTGTTCTCTCTTCCATGTGGGCTCCTCCCCCAGAATCAGCCACTGCCCTCTCTGTGGATATACAGAATTTCACAAATCTTTTCAAAGTTCCTGAAGCACTTCACATGCTTATGTGGGTAGTCTTCCCCTGCCATGATCATTCACTCAGTCATGTCTGACTCTTTGCAACCCCATGGACTACAGCCTGCCAGGCTCCTCTGTCCATGGAGTTTTCCAAGCCAGAAGAAACCATAAGTCCCAGGGGATGATAATTGAGGACCTCTGTAATCTCAGAACCTTGTGCTGTGGCTGCCATTTCAACATGAAGGAAGAGAAGAATGGAAGGAGTAAAGAAAAAGATGAGGGAGAAAAGAAAAAGCAAGCACAGAGACAAACACTCCAGTATAAGATAATACCAAGACCATCTGTCCTTCTTTTTAAAATTTGCATTTACTGCAAGGTCAATCCTTACCACCCCAACCATAGTCGGTTGGAGGACTGTTCAAGAAAACCTGCAGAATGGTTCCCACTCTTTTGGGGTCCTCCTGTTCTCGCTCCTCTCCTTCCAGTCTAGCCTATCCTCTCGACAGCTGACAATTCCTCCCTCCAACTGAAGGCCACAGACAGAAATGAGGCAAGAAGAAAATAAAACCTCAAAGGAGGAAAACTAAAGTGAATGCCTGGCAGCACGTATGTGGCAGCAAGCCGCTTCAGGGAACAAAGAACAACAGAGAGCATTGAGAGGTAACCACCTTTCACCCTGAAGCCACAGAAAGCCTGGAAGCCTCTCAGTTTTAGGCTTCCCAGATAAGCCACCACAGTGCTGTAGCATGGAGCCTGAAGATTTCAAATACAAGTCTGGATTTTGGAAGATGCAAATGAAATCACCCGAGAGGGAACACTAGAATGGCTGCTTCATTCGTTTCCACCATCCATCCTAATCAGACATTTAATCCAAGTGCCTGTGGGGGGGTGGGGGGGGCTGCTGTAGGAGCATGTTGGGGGCAGGGGAGATGATAATGGAAGAGGACAGATTAACTCTACTCCAGAGAAATCAAAACCTGTGAAGCAGTTTCTATATGACTCCGGAGTGAAAAGGGGCATGTGTCCGAAGCAGTGGTCACTTGTGCCAGCCTCTGATTCCACGCTACCCCTGCCAAATATCACTGGCCCACTTCTGTCTGCTGCTCACTTCTTGGGCTTTTCCAAGCAAGACCTGCCCTAGATGTCCAGAAACCTGCTGGGGGCCTGAAATGGCCAAGCAGAGCCATTTGATTTTCTGTGTGAGAATTAGACTGATGTGAGAGCAGATAGGGGTGAGAGTGGGGGAGTGTACGGGTGTGTATATTTTGGCAGAGCAATGTCAAGAAAGGAGGAAAAGAGGTTAACAACTTTACCACTTCCTAACCTCTGCACCTCTACTTTTTCCAGTAAGGAGCTGGCTCACAGATCAGCAAAGGCCCCAGTGGGTCCCTGAAGGGTCCAAGCTAACCTGAGCCCATTACTGCAGCCCATTACAGCCCTAGTAACACTGGGGAGAAGCATTACCCTTATTCTCACCTCACCCTTCTTCCTTTCCCGCCTTTCCATCTTCTCTTCATTCTTTCCAACTTTTTGGTGGTGTCTCCTCCTCCCAGAGCCCATTTCTCCCAGGGCCTGTTTCTTTTAATAGAGGATTCAAATCTTACAATCAAATTCTCACTCAGTTAGTAGCTCCTGCAGTTTACAGATCCCAGAGGTATACACATCTCCAATTTTAAAAGAAAATATTGCTGCAGATAATATTGGGGTGAAGGACACTTCTAATGATCTGAAGATTTAAATGACTCCTTTCTGTGGGTAGCTGCTGGTTGCTCAGACAGTAAAGCATCTGCCTGCAATGGAGGAGACCTGGCTTCAATTCCTGGCTCAGGAAGATCCCGTGGAGAAGGAAATGGCAACCCACTCTTGCCTAGAAATTCCCATGGACGAAGAAGTCTGGTAGGCTACAGTCCACGGGGTTGCAAAGAGTCGGCCATTGACTGAGTGACTTTACTTTCTGTTTTTCTTTCTGTAGTCAGGCCCTGGCTGCTTGGAGATGGGTCTGGGCCAAGCAGGAGAGTGAGAAGTTTTGAGATAGAACAAGACACCTCCCTTAGGAAGTGTTCTCCTTCTTGAGTCTCATTCCCAGGCTCCTATTGTCTCAAACAAGGCCCTGGTGGGTCCTAAACCAAGAAGTGGGCTCACTCGTCTGCATTTATACTCAGGAATTAGATGAAGTTCCCAGAAATGAAAACTGGTGAGTAATAGGTTAGGGGTGGGGAGAAAGGCTGTTTACTTCCTCTCTTCAAGTCAGCTAGGTCTCTTGAGGGTTCCCATCTGTGGTGACTTGCCCACTCAAACACACAGCATGTGGCAGCTGCTACCACCAGCAGCTTGGCTGCTTCTAGGTAAGTCAGAGTCACTTGGCCTGAGGGCAGAGCACAGGATGCTCTGGGCACAGCAGGCATCTCTTTTCAGGCAAGGAATGAGACCCTTAACCAAGGACAGAACCCCTTACCATGTCTATAGACCTTAGTTTAGCTCCTAGGACACAGCTTCAGGGGGTAGAGATATGGGAAATGGGCATAAGCAGGAGGTGAAAGGGGAGGACATGAGGTCTCCGTCACTTCACTCCTCTAGGTCTCAGCTTCTCTGGCTATAAACTGACAAGTATGGACCAGGTGGTCCCTAAGGTCTGTCTCCCATTCTCACTTTCTGATGCTCCTCTCTCAGTCTTTTCATTTCTATCCTTTCCAGAGGACTTGGGTGGAGATAGTTTCTATGGCTTGATTCAGAGATATTCAACCTGTGCCCTTAATCTGGGGGTCTGAACAGGGACCAAGGAGGAAGGGTATTGAAAACAGGGATTTGGGCAGACACCAGATTAGGAGGTGCAGACACTGGAAACCAGAAGGCAGGCAATAGGAGCGTTCCCTACTGTATTTATCTTTTTTTAAGATATCTTTACTTGTTTGTTTATTTAATGGCTGTGCTGGGCCTTCACTGTGGCGCTCAGGCTCTTCATTGCTTTGTGCTTGTGTGTGTGTGTCTCTAGCTGCGGGACACAGCTTCTTGTTGCCGTGGTCTCCCTTGTTGTGGAGCACAGGTTCTAGGGTGTGCAGGCTTCAGTAGTCGTGGCTCATGGGCTCTAGAACATGAGCTCTGGTTGCTCTGCATTATGTGGGATCTTACTTCTGGCTCCAGGGATTGAACCCGTGTCCCCTTTACTGGCAGGCGGATGCTTAACCACTGGACCACCAGGGAAGTCCCCACTACTTTTATGTTGGTTCTTGGGAACACTGGCCTCCGAGGGCAGAGGTGGGCAGGGGAGATTAAATACCATGCTCCAGTCACCCTGTTCTCTGCTGCTAATCAATATTTGTTTCATTCTTTTTTTCTTACAGTTTCAGCTGACATACGAGCTGGTGAGTTTGCTTCATGGCCTTGGATTGATCAAGTGAGGCATGTAAATGTGTAATAGCCACAGGGTACTGTTAGGAAATGTTCTTTGAACAAGAAACTGCTGACATGGAGGTGGTGGTGGTGGTTTAGTTGCTAAATTGTGTCTGACTTGCAACCCCAGGGACTGTAGCCTTCCAGGCTCCTCTGTCCATGGGCTTCTCCAGGCGAAATATTGGAGTGGATTGCCATTTCCTTCTCCAGAGGATCTTCCTGATCCAGGGATTGAACCCAGGTCTCTTGCACTGCAGGCAGATTCTTGGCAGGGGCAATTCCCCCAGTACAGTGGGGCTTGGCCCTACCAAGGAGGAGGCCAAGTCTCTTCAAGTCAAGATGCTCAGACTGAGTCCAATACTGAGGCTGAATTGCCACCTCTCAGTTTGCAATGGGTTTTGAGCCTCCCTGGGAATGCCAGTATAGAGCCTGCTCACTTCTCTGCCCTTATCTACATTCTCTTGACACTTGAGCAGATCTCTCAAAGGCTGTGGTGCACCTAGACCCTGAGTGGGACCGAGTGCTCAAGAACGACCGTGTGACTCTGAAGTGCCAGGGAACCTACCCTGTTGAAGACAATTCCACAAAGTGGTGGCACAATGGGACTCTCACCTCAAAACAGACCTCCAGCTACCTCATCGCAGATGCCCAGGTTGAGGACAGCGGCGAGTACAACTGTCAGACAGGCCTCTCTGCACCCAGTGACCCGGTGAAGCTAGAAGTCCATGAGGGTGAGTAGGAGAAGGGGAAAAGGGAACTGACCAATAAAGGATAAAAAAGAGGCCCTGAAAAAAAAAATGTTCCCGGGGGTTAAAACTAAGATGAGATGATCTGTAGTCTATTGAATTACATCAGAATTGGAGTCTTAGCTACAGGTAGGCCTTAGTTAAAATGTCAAAGCCTGGCCTACTCTAGGTACAGGGCTGCAGCACTGCACAATTCCAGGAATCTACATTCACATAGAATATGAATATATACAGCATGAATGGTGTCATCTGATGGTCAGGGCATGACGTCAGTGCTATAATAGTTATTGAATAAATTAAAGAATCCACTTTAGACCTCAATCTCCTCATTCTCAGACACAATCTCCACATTCTCTAAGCTACCCCACAAGCCACCCCTAATCTAACATCATATCTATCTCCTCTTCCCATCAACATTACACTCAAATATACACTTCAGCCTAAATTTGGCAATGTGAAATCTCTCCTAATAGAGACAGATACATGTTCAGCCTGCACATTCATCATGGAATGAAAGTCTTTGTGTCTTAACAAAATCCATGCATTAGATGCAAGGAGAAGTATGTTGTCACATCACATAGCCTGGTACCTGCTGTGTCTTGCAAGCTTGACTCTATTTGCATGGCTACCCCATCTCCATAATGTATGTGAGTGGAACAAGCCTGGAGGGAAAAGTGGGTTTAATGGAGGTGGACCTGCAACAAAAGTCCATGGACTTGGGTCTCTGAAGCTGACTTTCGGGGCTCCTACACCTGACTGTGTTACTCAGCTGACTTAGCTCTCGATCTGTAGAGCTACTGAGAGGAATGTCTATCATCTAGCTAAGTGAGAGATGGCCACGCATGTGTGCCAAGTTGCTTCAGTCGTGTCTGACTCTGTGACCCCACGGACTGTAGCCTGCCGGGCTCCTCTGTCCATGGGATTCTCCAGGCAAGAATACTGGAGTGGATGGCCATGTCCTCCTCCAGGGGATCTTCCCCACCCAGGGATCTAAGCCACATCTCTTACATCTCCTGCTTTGGCAGGCAGGTTCTTTGCCACTAGTGCCACCTGGGCACCCCAAGAGATGGCCACCTATGACCAAATAAAATGGGAAATTACCAACAGGAAGCAAGAGAAACCTCAAGCCTGGGAGTTGTTAGTTTGTCTTAAACTTGGCTCTAGAAACTGACTTTAGAAATCTAATTAATGTAAACAGCTTTAAACTCTGACCAAGAGCATTAACTTCACCAGGCAAACTCCTGCTCGTTCTTTTGGACCCACTTCACTTATCTCCTTCCCTGAGAAGCTTTGCTGACTTTCTTTGGGCTGAATTTTTTTGGTGCATTCTCTTTGGTCATGCAGTCCTTTGTTCTTAGCCTGTGGTAGTACTTATCAGCTGGTATTATAATTATTTCTGAGTATATGTGTTTCTATGCCTAGACCACCACAGGTTCTTTGATGTGCCTTAGTCATCTGGGTGTCCCCAATCTGCATAACATGACTTAGTAAGTTCTCAATAAGATATTTGTTTAACTAATGTATAAATGAACATTCACTGAGTCCATGACAGCCAGAATGGAATAAGAAAGTTCTCCCCTCAAAGAAACCAAACTATATATGTGTGTGCGTGCATGTATGTATGTTTGAATGTGCAACATATGTTATGTATATATGTGTGTGTGTATCTATATATATATTGATTACATACGTAACCCCCTGTTAATATTTAAGTACATGTTCTTTCTTTTTTTACAAGCATACATACGTTTTATATTCTTTTTAACTTAACATTCTCTGATAAATGTTTTCTCATGTCATTTTAAAATTTCTCTGCAGTATCATTTTAAATTATTCAGGCCAACTTCCTGACCATGACTTCAAGTTCTCTGTGTGTGTGAAATCTGGTTACTTGGCAAGACAGTTGTGAAGAGTTGTTTTGATGATTAACTTTTTCCATCTTGAAGGCTGTGCTCTGTAATGAAATGGTCTTTCTAAAACACTGTGGCCCCTGAAATTAGCAGTTACCATCAGCACTACCAAGCATGCTTTTCTTTCCTCTCCCCGACTTTTACAATGAGTTTTCCTTCACAATTTCTGTAGCCACTCCTGCGGATACTTAGTAACCTTCTTCCTGACTGGTTGCAACAGCCTTGCAAAATCCTAAAACTGTCTATTCCTTCTAAAGTCTATCTACCTTTCCTTATTTTCTAATATGATTTTTACTCTTTGATCTAGAGCTTACAATGGCCCCTTATCACCTTCCATAGCAAATTCAAGTGTAGACTTTACGGGTGCAGCAGCTTGCTTCTCACCTGCCTCATCACTTAGTCCCTCTGCTCTAACTTCATGCTTTGATCATGTGTCTGTCTGTCCCTCTCTCCCATTAGACAAAAGATCTTGGATTGACTTTAGTTGTCATCCAGAGTCCAGCTGTCTTTTTCCCAAAGAAAGTTATAGAAGGATGGCGCCCAGTCTGGAGTTCCATTATGCCTCAGGACCTGGGTGGTGAGCATCCCCTTCGGAAGAGCTCTGTGCTGGATGCTGAGGCCTCCTGGGTCTGTGTTCTTTGTGTTTTCCAGGCTGGCTATTGCTCCAGACCCCTCAACGGGTGGTAAATGCGGGAGAGCCCATTCAGCTGAAGTGTCACAGCTGGAAGAAAATTCCTGTAGTAAAGGTCCAGTATTTCCATAATGGCAGAGGCAAGAAGTATTTTCATCACAATTCTGACTTCCGCATTCCAAAAGCACAACTTGAACACAGTGGTTCCTACTTCTGCAGGGGGATTATCGGGACAAAAAACGAGTCTTCGGAGTCTGTGCAGATCACTGTTGTTCAAGGTAAGACACGTGCAGCCCTAAAGGGTCCTGAGACCCCTGTGCTGAGAATCTTGCATTCACACTGGGAAGATGAGTTGGGAGGAAATTGCTGACAATTCCACAGACTTCTTTATAAGTGTCATTCACTCTGAAATATGACAGCAGGTGCAAAGGCCACATTTCCTCCCTCATAAATATGCCTGTCCTAACTTACCTCATTCAAACCATATCCACACTCTTGTATGTCTCTATCGCACTGGCCCTTTTTAACCTGGTCCTGATCCCCTTTCTCTCCCAAGCCTCAAGTCTTAGCCAAGAGTCCAGCTGGCAGTAACCCCTAACTTTCTCACAGAAAGTCCCAGAACCTGTGTTATGGCTCTGCTGCTGGTTAACCACATGACTGTGGCCAGTTAGTCTCTTAAACCTCAATTTCCACTTCTGTAACAAAGACAAGCTGACATTTATTGGGCATCTTTCAGTATGCTGGACACTGTGCTGAATGCTTCATTACATGCACTTAATCTGATGATCATAGTAACCCTTCAAAACAACATTAAGAGATTGGTAATAGTAACTCTACAGATGAAGTTTTCTGTAACTCTGAAGTTTTCTGTAATATCAAAAATGACAGAATGATCTCAGTTCATTTCCAAGACAAACACAGCAATCCAAGTCTATGCCCCAACCACTATTGCCGAAGAAACTGAAGTTCAATGGTTCTATAAAGACCTACAAGATCTTCTAGAACTAACAATAAAAAAGATGTCCTTTTCATCATAGGGAACTGGAATGCAAAAGTAGGAGGTCAAGGGATACCTGGAGTAACAGGCAAGTTTGTTCTTGGAGTACAAAATGAAGCAGGGCAAAGGCTAACAGTTTTGTCATGAGAACGCACTGGTCATAGCAAACACCCTCTTCCAACAAAACAAGAGATGACTCTACACATGGACATCACCAGATAGTCAATACCAAAATCAGATTGATTTTAGTCTTTGCAGCCAAAGATGGAGAAGCTCTATACAGTCAGCAAAAATAAGACAGTCTGACTGTCTTCTTGTCAAGACCAGAAGCTGACTATGGCTCAGATCATGAACTTTTTATTGCAAAATTCAGACTTAAATTGAAGTAGGAAAACCACCAGACCATTCAGGTGTGACCTAAATCAAATTCCTTATGATTATACAGTGTAATTGACAAATAGATTCAAGGGATTAGATCTGATAGACAGAGTGCCTGAAGAATTATGGTTGGAGGTTTGTAACGTCATACAAGAGGAAATGATCAAAACCATACCCAAAAAGAAGAAATGCAAAAAGACAAAATGGTTGTCTGAGGAGGCCTTACAAATAGCTGAGAAAAGAAGAGAAGTGAAAGGCAAAGGACAAAAGGAAAGATATATTCACCTGAATACAGAGTTCCAAAGAATAGCAAGGAGAGATAAGAAAGGCTTCCTCAGTAATCAATGCAGAGAAATAGAGGAAAACAATAGAATGGGAAAGACTAGAGATCTCGTCAAGAAAATTAGAGATACCAAGGGAATATTTCATGCAAAGATGGGCACAATAAAGGACAGAAATGGAATGGACCTAACAGAAGCAGAAGATATTAACAAGAGGTGGCAAGAATAAATAGAAGAACTATACAAACAGATCTTCATGACCCAGATAATCACAATGTTTGATCACTTACCTAGAGCCAGATATCCTGGAGTGTGAAGTCAAGTGGGCCTTAGGAAGAATCACCATGAACAAAGCTAGTGGAGGTGATGGAATTGCAGCTGAGCTATTTCAAATCCTGGAAGATGATGCTGTGAAAGTGCTGCCCTCAATATGCCAGCAAATTTGGAAAACTCAGCAGTGGCCACAGGATCAGAAAAGGTCAGTTTTCATTCCAAGCCCAAAGAAAGGCAATGCCAAAGAATGTTCAAACTGCAGCACTGTTGCATTCATCTCACACACTAGCCAAGTAATGCTCAAAATTCTCCAAGATAGGCTTCAACAGTGCATGAACCAAGAACTTCTAGATGTTCAAGTTGGATTTAGAAAAGGCTGAGGAACCAGAGATCAAATTGCCAACATCCATTGGATCATCGAAAAAGCAAGAGAATTCCAGAAAAACATCTACTTCTGCTTTATTCACTATGCCAAAGCCTTTGACAATGTGGATCACAACAAACTGTGGAAAATTCTTAAAGAGATGGGAATACAAGACCACCTGACCTGCCTCCTGAGAATCTGTATACAGGTCAAGAAGCAATAGCTAGAACCAGACATGGAGCAACGGACTGGTTCCAAATTTCAAAAGGAGTACATCAAGGCTGTATTGTCACCCTGCTTATTTAACTTATATGCAGAGTACATCATGCGAAATGCTGGACTGGATGAAACACAAGCTGGAATCAAGGTTGCCAGGAGGAATAACAATAACCTCAGATATACAGATGACATCACCTTTATGGCAGAAAGCGAGGAGGAACTAAAGAGCCTCTTGATGAAGGTGAAAGACAAGAGTGAAAAAGCTGGCTTTAAACTCAACATTCAAAAAAGTAAGATCATGGCATCTGGTCCCATCACTTCATGGCAAATAGATGGGGAGACAATGGAAACTGACAGACTTAATTTTCTTGGGCTGCAAAATCACTGCAGATGGTGACTGCAGCCATGAACTTAAAAGACACTTGCTTCTTAGAAGAAAAGCTATGACCAAACTAGACAGCATATTAAAAAGCAGAGACATTACTTTACTGACAAAGGTCTGTCTAGTCAAAGGTATGGTTTTCCCAATAGTCGTGTATAGATGTGAGATTTGGACCATAAAGAAAGCTGAGCACCTGCTTTTGAGCTGTGGTGTTGGAAAAGACTCTTGAGAGTCCCTTGGACAGCAAGGACAGTCAATCCTAAAGGTAATCAGTCCTGAATATTCATTGGAAGGACTGATGCTGAAGTTGAAACTCCAATATTTTGGCCACCTGATGTGAAGAACTGACTCATTGGAAAAGACCCTGATGCTGGGAAAGATTGAAGCAGAAGAAGGGACAACAGAGGATGAGATGGTTGGATGGCATCACTGACTCAATGGACATGAGTTTGAGCAAGCTCTGGGAGTTGGTGATGGTCAGGGAAGCCTGGCGTGCTGTAGTCCTTGGGTCCCAAAGAGTCGGACATGACTGAGCAGCTGAACTTAACTGATATTGAATTCCACTTTCCAAATCACTTAGAAAACATCTCCAGTTTCTGTAGCACCATCCTCCAGGGTCAGAGATGCCTTGCCATGGTGCTCCTGGACTTCCTAATTTCCCAAAGCTTCCACCTGGAATCAGACTGGGATAAAAACCCTGATGCTGGGAAAGATTGAGGGCAGGAAGAGAAGGGGGCAACAGAGGATGAGATGGTTGGGTGGCATCACTGACTAAATGGACATGAGTTTGAGCAAACTCTGAGAGACAGTGGAGGACAGTTAAGCCTGGCATGCTGCAGTCCATGAGGTCACCAACATTTGGACACGACTGAGTGACTGAACAACAATGCACTGTAAGCAATTAATATGTAATAAGACAGCAAGATAGACACACATCTTCTGAGATTCTAACAAAACAATGCCATAGTTTGCATAAAAAATAACTTCATCACAATTTAAATGGAAAGTAAATACTCTCAAATAGCTAGGAAAAGAGAGAGCAAATAATAAAGAAAATGGGGGCAAATTGCAAACAGTTAGTAAATCTAAGTAAAGAATATATCTAAGAGTTATTTGTACTTTACTGGCAACCATTTTTTAAGCTCAAAATTATATCAAAATTAAGATTTTAAAAATTGAGACTAAAAATCCACTCTAATCTTACTATCTTATAGCCAACAGCAAGGAATGACTTTAAAACAATCTTAATGTCTAAGAGGTTGAGAACCAACAAATTCTACCTCTTTCCATCTTGGATTCTTAGTTACTGAGCCTTGATAAAGAAATTTTTTTCTGACAATAAGTAGGTTAAGTAGTAGATTTCAATGGCTCACTTTGTGTGTGTGTGTTGGGTTTTTTTGTTTTGTTTTGTTTTGTTTTTTAGATTTCCTTGAGTGGGATGAATACAATGAGTATAGTTTGGAGACACAAGAGAAAGTTAGTGAATTAAGAAATAGTGTTCTCACAACTTAAACTTTGATATCTCTCATTGCTGTTGTACAGTCGCTAAGTTATGTCCGACTCTTTGCAGCCCCATAGACAGCATGCCAGGCTTCCCTGTCCTTAACTATCTCCCAGAGTTTGCTCAAACTCACGTCTATTGAGTTAGACATCTCATCCTCTGTCGCCTCCTTCTCCTCCTGCCCTCAATCTTTCCCAGCCTCAGGGTCTTTTCCAATGATTCAGTTCTTTGCATCAGGTGGCCAAAGTATTAGAGCTTCAGCTTCAGCATCAGTCCTTCCAATGAATATTCAGGTTTGATGATCTCAAGCAAAACCCAGCTACAAATACCTCCATCAAACATGAAAACACTATTGCTCAAGAAGCACTAGAATCCAAAACTGGTGGGAGGAAGCTATGGCTTTCTTCCAGACTCCCCCACATTCCATAGAATCTGTTTTTTAGCAGGTGTCAGAAAGACTTTACATTGAGGACCTCACTGTTTATTCCAATTTTCTGCCTTAACAAATGTCATTTTTTCTCATCCCTCTGCTCAGATCTAGAATCTTTACAAACCGTCTCATCATTCTTTCCACCTTGGCACCAAATCGCTTTCTGTCTGGTGATGGGCCTCCTATTTGCAGTGGACACGGGGCTGTATTTTTCTGTTCAGAGAAACCTTCGAAGCTCAGAGGAATGGAGGGATGGCAAAGTCACATGGAGCAAGGGCCCTTAGGACAAATGAAGGTAATAAAAGCAGCATCCCCATCCTATGGGGGTGACAAAAGCAACATCTATGAACCTCTTTCTAATTTCACAGCCTTATCATCTCCCAACAGGCATCTCTGGGGGCAGCAGGAAAATTATACTTCAGACTCTAGGGATCTGAGGATCCTTCACCCAGTTCTGTTTCTTCTAGTCTCCTATGGAAAGAAAGTGCCAACAGTGAAGGACCAGCAAATATCTGCATTACCAGAAATAGACGTCTCAGAGCTACTTGGATGCTTTCTCTATTCCAACCATTCTATCCCAAGAGAACAACAATACAGACTCTCAAAGATTACCCCTGTTGTATGAAGATTGTGCTTAAATAAATGGATATGTAAATATGAGAATTCATGGTGGAGAGGCAGCTGGATGGTGGTCTACGTCTGTTGCTGCAGACTGGCTGCCTTCAAAGCACCCTAAAACTCCTTCTAGATAGACTGTGGGTACATTTGGGGGTCTAGGGAAGAGAGCACAACCAATGAAGAGGGTGGCTAGGAAAGAGCAGGGTAGTCCAGGATAGACTAGACAAGACCACCACCTGGGCTGTCTTCCTAGAACATGAACCATGGTGGAGGTAAAAGAAAATCACAGAAGTGAGATAGGATTGAGTTTTCCAGGGGAGCCCCTGTCAAAAGTATACAATGTGAGTCTGTGAGTATACAATGATAAACCCTCTCAATGTCATAAGTAGAAAATGGTCCAGGAAGGGGGTTAGGGGTTGGAGGATTTGCAAAAGAAAGCTCAGAATAAACTCATTGGAAGGAACATTGCTGTCCCAAATTAAGCCCAGTGAACAAAGATATATCAGTGTCTACACTGAGAAAGCATTACAAGAAAAAGTCAACCACAGCTGCACAGGAAGGAGTCGGCAGGAGATAAGGATGCTTTTATACTGAGAATTAGAGAGAAGGGGCATATAAAACCAGAATTTTCACTTCAGTATCTAATTCAGCTTTATTCACATCACCCTTAAACAAATGTTGGGTAATCACTATTAAATGTACTAAACTCTACTGAATTAAATCATGAACTTTGAAATCCTTCAGCATGTCAATAATAATGGAGTAGAGGTGAAGTCAATCATTGCTTATGGAAGAAAGCTTTAGCTATCTCTCTTTGTGTTTTAGAAGCTTTAAACTGAACATTTCTTGATTCCGGTAAGGCATTTTACGAGATTCTGAATGTTATTGTTAGATAGAAGATGGAAAAACCATGATAATAAAACATGAATGATGGAATCCTTTTGTCCTCCCATTGTCTAAAATCTTATTAGAGATTAGTAAATGAGAAATCCCTCTCCTCTTAGCAACCACCTCACCACAATTCATATGAATTAGTCAACTTGCTAATTCACCAAATCTTGCTGGAACAACTGGGCAAAGGGGAACTTTTCCAGGTGGTCTGGGATAGGAGGATGAATGGGAATTAGAGGTGGTTTAGAGCATGGGGCAGGTAAGAAAAGGTAGAGCTAGGAAGGAAGTAGGTCAACTATGAGCTTTATGCCAAGCCAACAACTCAGGTTTGGTATAAGAATATTAGAAGTATAGGGATATCAGATTTGGACATGAGACAAGGGCATTTGGAAACTTTAAACATTCAACTCACATTTACTTAGTACTTAAGTGCCAATTAAGAAAACATCTTTTTTTTTTTTTTAAATTTTCATCTGAAGATGCCCCTAATTGCAGGCATGGGGGTTTAGTTGCCCTAGGGGTTGTGGGATCTTGGTTCCCAAGGCAGGGATCAAACCCATATCCTCTGAATTGCAAGGCAAATTCTTAACCACTGGACCACCAAGGAAGTCAGTTCCCAAACTAGCGTTTAGCTGTGGAAGATATTAAGATGAACAACCCAGGGTCATTCCCTGGAGCAATTTCCATTCCAGTGAGAAAAATAAAAAGCATAAATAGAGGATGAAGAAAGGGCTGCCAAAAAGAGGCTGAACGTTTGGCTTTGTGGTCGTGGATGACCAAGAGATCGCCAGGCAAAAAGGAGAGGCGCTGAAAGCTCATGGGCAATGATTCAAAGCCAGAGAAGGGGGTCAAGAAAGTGGTTTGGTTCTGTTGCAGTCTAAGGAGTCAGTGGAGGACAGGAGAGAGTTCAGGGGCCAGATCTTGAAAGGCACTGCCTTCCAAGCTAAGGAGGTTGTCGTTTACCCTGCAAGTCATTGAGGGATTTTAAGCAGAACAGGTCTTTTCTAAAAAGCCTCTCTGGCAGCTGCTTGGAGGCAGGAGAGAAGAGGAGAGTTGAAGACAGGAAACTGCTTAGGCAGCAGGGTGGCTATTGCAGTTAACTCAGGGGGCGAGCAATGAGAAAGTAGATATCAGCAGGCAGAAGAGGAAGATGGCTATTCAAATGTTCAGAAGGTAGGTTCTCCAGAAATTGTTAGCCAGCAGGACATCGCATGGCTGAGGGCCCAGGGTCTGGAAACACGGTTTCACAAGTTAAGAACACAAGTACAACGGGCAAGACAAGCAGAGGTAGGGTAAAAGAATCCAGTTTTGGATTTTGAATGCTTACTTCCTTTTGTTGGTAAATATTTTTAAAGCATCAGTTTAGTGATGCAGTTTTAGTAGAACCTTACTCAAGCAAGTAAAAACTGTTTTACTAGTTGCAACCCTGATCTCATACGCCCATTGTTTAGAAGCTGCTAGCAAAATATACAGTAAACTGAGAGAGATGAGACTTGTGGTTATCAACAGGGAGGAGGGGAGGGAGGAGGGGAGGACTGGGAGTTTGGGGTTGGTAATGGAAACAGTTACATTGAGAATGATAAACAGCAAAGTCCTGTACAGCGCAGGAAACTATATCCAATATCTTGGGATTAACCTACAATCATGTGTATAACGGAGTCACTCTGCTCTACAGAAAAATGCCATACAGTGCCACAGAGCGCCACAACTCTGCTATACAGTGTTAGGCCAAGGAGATTGGCACAACCCTGTAAATCAACTATTGTTGTTGAGTCGCTAAGTCGTGTCCGACTCCTTTGTCACACCATGCAGTGTAGCCAGCCAGGTCCTCTGTCCATGGGATTTCCCAGGCAAGAATACTCGAGTGAGTTGCCATTTCCTTCTCCAAGGGATCTTCCTGACTCAGGGATCCAGCCTGCTTCTCCTGCACCGTCAGGTAAAGCGGGTGCTTCACCGCTGAGCCACCAGGGGAGCCCAGATCAACTATGAAAGTGAAAGTCAAAGTCGCTCCGTCGTGTCAGACTCTTTGCGACCTCCTAGACTTTACAGTTGGTGGGATTCTCCAGGCCAGAATACTGGCGTGGGCAGCCTTTCCCGCCTCCAGGGGATCTTCCCAACCCAGGGATCAAACCCAGGTCTCCCTCACTGCAGGCAGATTCTTTACCATCTGAGCCACAGGGAAAGTCCCAAATCAACTATACTTCAATTTCTAAAACAAACAAAAAAAAAGTAGTATATTGGACGCAGGCTGGGTGGAGATTTGCAAACTTTCACAGTACTAATGCTATTTGGTTTCCTGTGAGAAACTGACAGGTCTGTCTCAAAGGTCAAAATTGCTGCCTTTCGTCCCTGGGTGGGCTCGAACCACCAACCTTTCGGTTAACAGCCGAACGCGCTAACCGATTGCGCCACAGAGACGAATGGTGAAGACAGGTTTTGCCAAGTCGGTGACTGAATAATAAGCTCGAAGTGTTCTGTGTCTCCAATGTGGTTGAGGCCGGCGTAGGAACTGGTAGAGACATCCCCCGCAGAGCACCAGGGAAGTAAGTAGCCCAGAGAGAAGCGGGTCCTTTTCCCGCACTAGCACCTGCTTAGATCTGAGACAGGACTCAGTTTCTACCTGGAAGAAGCTAAGAAAACGAGAGCAGCCGAGGGTGAATGAACCGGACTCTTCGTCGTCGTTCGGTCTTTCAGTCGTGTCCGACTCTTTGCGACCCCATGGACGACAGGCCTCCCCGTCCATCACCAACTCCCAGAGCTTGCTCACTCATGTCCGTCCAGTCGGTGATGCATCCAACCATCTCATCCTCTGTCGTCCTCTTCTCCTCCTGCCTTCAGTCTTCCCCAGCATCAGGGTCTTTTCCAATGAGTCAGTTCTTCACATCAGGTGGCCAAAGTATTGGAGCTCAGCTTCAGCATCAGTCCTTTCAATGAACATTCAGGGTTGATTTTTCTTTAGGATTGACTGGTTGGATCTCCTTGCAGTCCAAGGGACTCTCGAGAGTCTTCTCCAACACCACAGTTCGAAGGCATCAGTTCTTTGGCACTCAGTCTTTTTTATCGTCCAGCTCTCACATCGGTACATGACTACTGGAAAAACCATAACTTTGACTATACGGACCATTGTCAGCAAAGTAATGTCTGTGCCTTTTAATTCACTGTCTAGGTTTGTCACAGCTTTTCTTCCAAGGAGCAAGCATCTTTTAATTTCATGCCTGCTGTCACCGTTCACGGTGATTTGGCGGCGAAAGTCTGTCACTGTTTTCATTGTTTCTCCATCTATTTCGCCATGAAGCGATGGGACTGGATGCCATGATCTTAGTTTTTTGAATATTGAGTTTTAAACCAGCTTTTTCACTCTTCTCTTTCACCCTCTTCAAGAGGCTCTTTAGTTCCTCCTAGCTTTCTGCCATAAAGATGATGTCATCTGCATATCTGAGGTCATTGATATTTCTCCCGGCAATCTTGATTCCAGCTTGTGTTTCTTCCAGTCTGGCGTTTTGAATGATGTACTCTGCATATAAGCCAAATAAGCAGGGTGACAATATACAGCCTTAACTACTCCTTTCCCAATTCTGAAACAGTCTGTTGTACCATGTCTGGTTCTAACTGTTGCTTCTTGACCTGCATACAGGTTTCACAGGAGGCAGGTCAGGTGGTCTGGCATTCCCATCTCTTTAAGAATTTTCTACAGTTTGTTGTGATCTACACAGATGGGGTTCTTGGGGGGAATCCAAAATGAATGCTGTGGGTTCAGGAGTTCATTTGGTTTTAC